TTCTTTTTAGCAACATCATATGACCCCTTTAATCACCAGAAAAACTGCCACAAAAACATGATTCCTATCTCCTTTGAGCCAGACCATTTGTTTAATTCACAACCGATTTTCACATGTATGACTGATTCTGAAAAATTTTTGAATACTTATAATTGTCATGAAAACCAACATTTGACTGCTTTTGTTATTTTGATAGGTGCATTACAGCTGATACATACATAATTTGAAAAATATTGTATATTTATTCTTATTTTGTGAAAAAACTGTGTGTGATGTAAAGATTTGATTGATATTTAAATAATAAGGTAATATTAGTTTTGTTTTGTTTTTTGCAAATTAGCTGAATTTTTTTTTTTCCAAGATTCAGGGCTGTGTTATAGACCTTCTTGGTCTCCATATATTAAAAAGTGACACGCTTGTCAAAAACCATGTTTGCCTACCTGGTCCCAGTCTATGCTTCTGAAGAACGTATGAGACTTGATGTCTGTGAATCCGGTCTGAACTTGGCATCCCAGCCTCTCTTTCGGGTCCTGAAGAGAACACACACCCTATTAATAACAACACACCTAACAAAAGCCAGATCTGCTGGAGAGAACTTCGAAACCATAAAACTTCTTCAATTCATGTACTCTTTATTTCAAGAGAAATTAGGGAGTTTAACCAAAACGCATTCATTATTGTGTATGTTGTTGACGTTATCTTGTGCTCTGAGACGTTAGATGAGGATTCAGGGGTCTGGGAGCGACTCGCTGAGCAGATCTACACTCATTTAATCCCAATGAATCAGGCAGAGGCTAAGAGGGCTGATAACACTGATTACAGGCTGCTGTTGAATTTGAAGAACACCAGAGCTTCAATAAATCCAATTTGTCTCGATGATTAAAGGAAAACGCTTCATTATTCACAGATTTAATCAAGCCGACATGCACGCGGGCACACGAAAAGAAGCATGCACACCCTCAAGGTATCGGTTTCATCTGGAGGATGATGACCCTCCTTATTATAGCACATATATTTGTTCAGTCAGAGGCAAACTGTGTGCACATTCTTGTAGATTTAAGACCCTCATTCATAAACCAGTGTGCATTATGCATAAATTATGACATTTTTGTTTCTCATCCATCTTTTTTTGTGTAATGGAGCGCAACAGTGATCAAGGTTTCAGAGGAAAAAGTCTGTGTTTGCTTATAAAAAAAATACAACTACTGACTTTTATAGTTGTTATTTTAAGTTATTGTTATTAGACAGCAATAATTTATATATATATATATATATATATATATATATAAATAATACATTTTTGATTAAAAAAAATGTATGTGAAATATTTAACTCAAAAATACAAAACAGAATAAAGAAAATACAGCAACACTGAAATAACGAATGACTTCTCCTAGCAGACATTAGCTAATTTTACCTGCCGCTAGCCTCCAAAAACTCACTGCTGTGGAAATTACCGTGAATCATGTTTCCATGGTAATGGTGACTTCTTTGATTGTTGCATTTCCTTTCAGGGTTGTGGGTAGTATAAATTTATTGAATTCAGCATGTAAACACTTTTTTTTTTAAAGAAGTTGAAAATCACACTGACTTACAGTATGGCTTCAATAGAAGCAGGACCTTCAAGATGATAGGACCTTTTATTATGCACCATACAGTACATTCAAGATATCTGGAAACCCTTAACCTTGGCGTTGCTACATTAACTACTACTTGAAATACAGGAACACTCGTTTATTCAGTATCTTTTTACTTCTTAACTCTTTATTGCCTTGGTTTTTTCCCCTATATATCCTCTTTTTTCCCTCTTTTTCTTGTCTCCTTGTGTTTTGCAAAAACATGACAGCTGTATCGCACTCTACAGTGTTCCTTCACATACCACATACACTTTGTTCTCACCTTGTTCAGAAAGCCTTTCAGCACACTCGCAGCCTTAACAGACAATGACCTGGGAATCCGTATCGGCTTCTCCAAAATTACTAATAGAGAAAGGGGAAAAAAGGAAGACGGAAGATAAAAGAGTATGAGTCATTCTTGCAGAGTATGGCCGTCGTGTTGTGCGGCGGTGTTAGAGAGAGACAGGCTTTAACCCACACGCACAAAATCTCTCGCTCGTACACCCACACACTACAGATGCCTGAATAAACCCTTCAGTACTCATCAAACACCCATCAAACACTCAAAAGATTCCTCCCCGCTCCGTGCTTATTTCTATAAATTCATAAAATTCTGTTGCGGTGTTAAGTGGATTTAAACACACCACAAAAAGTCAAATAAAATTGTCTTTTTAATACGTCTCATCCCTGCATTTTTGGATTTCTTTTACAGCTGCGTATCTCGGGCAAACGTGCAGAAGTAAAGCCTGTTAAATTTCATCTCTCTCAAAGATGGAGTGCAGACGAGCATTTATCTTTCCCCTCTCTGAATGCCACATCCCCGTTTGTTTTCTTTTTCGAATGAAAAGCTAAAGGGATTTAGGTCTTGATGGGGCTCTGCCCTGCTGCTGTGACGCGGTTTGGACAGTGGCCCGAAAGCGGCTGAAGTGTTGGCTCGGCGGTGGCAGCATCTGCCCTGCTCCTGGGTGGGCGGCGGAGTGCCGGCAGGGGGAGGCCATGTAGGGCCGGGGGGAGGTTGGACCGGGATGGCACTGCAGCATATGGACGAACTGAGGTTTGGATGGGGGGAACGGAGTTCCGGTTGTGGAGAGAGATCCAGGTTCATGTCGTATGTGTCTGTATGAATGAGAGTGATCCAGGAGCACGCTGGCCTCTCGGCTGGAGCACCAGAGAACAGACAGGGAAGCAGATGACCACACAGTCTCTGCTCTAGAGATGCAATGTATTATGTTACAAGCAATTTTTTGAACTTCTATTTATCAAAGAATCCTTAAAAATTATCACTGTTTTCACAAAAAAATTTAAACAGCACAACTGTTTTTAACACCAATAATAATGAGAAATGATACTTGAGCATCAAATCAGCATATTAGAATGATTTCTGAAGGATCATGTGACATTGAAGACTGGAGTAATGGCTGCTGACAATTCAGCTTTGCCATCACAGGAATAAATTTTAAAATCAAAATAATAAAATAAAATAAATAAAACAAAACATTTATTTTAAATTGTAATGATATTTCACAATATTACTACTTAACTGTACTTTTGATCAAATAAATGCATCCTTGGTATACAAAAGGGACTTCTTTCCCCAAACTTTTGAATGATAGTGTATGTGCCATGTTTTGGTATAAGAAACGTGTGTGAACAGTAATAAAAGTAACTGGACCATAACCTGTCTAGGTCATAAAATCGAATATCATACACCATATCAAGAGCGATACACCCACAACAGATCATATTAACCCACTGTACCTCAAATAAGAGCACATATCTATGTGATACAATCACTGCTTTAAAACCTTGAATAGTTGAATAAAACCATGAATACTTTTCATATAAGGGAAACGTTTGATTCCTTTTAAATAATTATGATGCAGGCATGTTCTAATTATTTAAAATGAATGCTTTCATTAAATATATAAAGATAAACATTCTCCTAATTAAGTCATGTTCAACACATATACTGTCTTTCAGTTCAGTCACACAAGTTTTAATTAAATCAAATTTGTATGACTGCACAGAAAGACTGATAGCAAATTTAATTAATTTAGTCATTTAGATTTACATTAAGTCATTTTGCAGACGCTTTTATCCAAAGCACTTACAAATGAGGACAATGGAAGCAATCAAAATCAACAAAAGAGCAATGATATGCAAGTGCTATAACAAGTCTCAGTTAGCTTAACGCAGTACACGTAGCAAGGGTTTTTTAAATAATATAATAAATGAAAAGAAAACGGATAGAATACAAAAAGATTAGAAAGCTAGAGTTAGTTTGTTTTTTTCTTCTTTTTTTCATTCATGTTTTTAACCTTTAACCAACAAATTAGAGATTAAACTGAAAAGTGACAATTTTTCTTTTCTTTTGTAAAGAGTATTTAAGAAAGAAATTTGAGAGAAGGGGTGAAAAATATTCATGTAAAACTAAATTAGGCAAGAATTCTTGACAGGATTTTGTCAAGAGATGAAAAAAGATTTGAAATTAAAAAATGTTAGTCAAAATACACTGTTAATAAAATTGTGTCATTGTATTTAAATGATCACTTTTGATAAGTGATATGCCATCACAAGGTTAAATGGAATATATATATATATATATATATATATATATATATATATATATATATATATATATATCAACATAGTTTAAGTCGAATTCACAAGAACTCACCCTGGAAGAGATATTCCTCTGTGTTCATATCAGGATTGTCAGTGATGATGTCGAATGGAGATCGGCCTGCCATCATTTCAAACATAAGCACACCCAGGGCCCACCAGTCTACGCTGAAGCCTGAGAGAAACAGAGAGAGAGAGAGAGAGAGAGAGAGAGAGCAAGAAAAAAGATGCAGAAAAAGAGTGAGTTCAATCTTTATCAGTGTGATTCACTCAACAGTTTTTATTGGTTTTATTTTAATTACTAAAACATAACTATATTAAACACTGGGCTCTGTGTTACTCAGGATTATGCAGTACTGATACCGTAATCTTCTCCTCTCAGGATTTCTGGGGCGATGTAGTTGGGCGTCCCACAGAATGTGCTGGTGGTGTCACCTGGTCTGATTCCCTCCTGAAGCAATTAAAAAATTACCCTGTGTTTACAGTATGTTTTTACTTAATCACAGATATTCACTTCATCACTATTTCTATAACGGAGCTAAGCGCTTAGCGATTAGCATTAGGTTTTACCTTGCACATGCCATAGTCTGTAATTTTGATATGGCCATCCTGGTCCAATAGTACATTGTCCAGTTTTAAATCCCGGTAAATAATGCCCTTCTCGTGCAGAAAATTAAGAGCGATGCAAACTTCAGCAGCATAAAATCTGCAAGAAACACGAAAAAAGTAGTTGTGGGTAAGACTCATTATTAAAACATACATGTAATTAAAACATACATACAACTGTTTCATATTTTAATATATTTCAATATATTCTTGTGATGTCACAGCAGCCATTACTGCAGTTTTCAGTGTCACATGATACTTAAGAAATAATTTTAATTGGCTGATTTGGTGCTAAAGAAATGTTTAATGTTAAACTGCTTTATGTTTTTGTGGAAATTGCAATAAAAAAAAATCAAGATTCTTTGATAAATAGAAAGTTCAAAATAATATTTGAAAATATTTTATAACATTATAAATGTCTTTAATGTCACTTTTGATCAGTTTAATAATGTATATGCTTGCAGATAAAAATAGATTTTTTTAAAAACGTACTGACCCAAACTTGTAGTTTATCTCAAGACACCTGAAACCATGCATCAACCAATCAGAATTAAGCATTTAATTGTATAACAGTTACTTTATAATAACCTGACCTAACCAATAGCGATGTGACAAGTGTCCAGTTACAAACAATTAGTTGAAATTAGCATTGTGCATTAGCAAAAACAGTGGAATGGCGTGACAAACACACCCAATACGAAGTTTAAAGTTAAGTGTGTCCACCAATGATATTTCACAATGGCTCAGTGTCGCAAACAAGGAAACCAAGCAATTGTCAATATGCTGAAAAGTCAATATACACTATATGTGAAATCAACACAGAACATTAGATAAACATATATATACATAATTTTTCCAGAATTCCCCAAGCGGGTACTGTGCTTCTAACTGTCAGTGTTTGCCTGTCTAAAGTTAGAAAAAACCAAGATAAAAAGAAAGAAGGTGTTCAAAGTAGGAAAAGTTAGCCATGACATTTCCGATCAGGTTTCACATCTGGCAGTGTTCACCTCACGCAGCAAGGGCTCATGAGACCTTTAGGAGCAACTCATGAATATTTAGGCTCATTACCCGTAATTAGCATGTGCATTTGCATATGTGTGGTGTGCAGAACGCATATTGATAGGGCTTGTCGGGGTGCGCTTGACTCACCTAATTAGCCCGTGTTTGATCTCAGTTTATCAGACGTGTGAAAGGGGGCATTACAGCAGCGCTCTGATCCGTCACTGTAACAGGATTCATCATCTAACAGACCGGCCTGCCTCATAGACAGAATAATATAGCCTAACAGAAACGTATGAGATCTGCATTCAAAGCAAAGGCCTGGGTTTGGTTTAAACATTACGATGGACAATTTCAATTTAATAAAACTACACAGATGAGTCATGTTTTTTGAAGACTGACGTCTGCGATGCTGGCAGAGTAAATGCCAAAACTTCTAATTTAATTTACAAAATTTAAAAAAATATTTTAATTTTATGAAAAGAGAGTCATACAAAAAAATTAAAATTATACACTACCTTTTTTGAAAGAATTGTATACTTTTATTTTTTTATTCCAATGAATTGACAAAAAGTGGCAGTGAACATGTTATGTTACAAAAGATGTGTATTTCAAATACATGCTTTTCAATACTTTCTATTCATTAAAGAACCCTGAAAAAACAATATCACTGTTTTTATAAAAATAATAAACAGCACAACTGTCTTCAACATTGATAAAATAAATAATAAATAATTTTTAAAAATGTTTCTTGAGCAGCAAAATCAGCATATTAGAATGATTTCTGAATGATCATGTGACACAGCAGACTGGAGTAATGGCTGCTGAAATTCCAGCTTTGCCATCACTGGAATAAAATACATTTTAAATATATTTGATTGTAAACAGAATTCACAATAGTACTGTATTTATTTTACCAAATATCAATTTTTGACCTAAAAACAACTTATCTTTGTTCCTTTTCTCCTTCATTCACACATTTAATCTATCCATTCATTAACGCAGTAATCTAACCTATCTCACATAAAATTATGCCTAAACTTAATTACCCTCTATATTAAAAATATCAAATAAATATTTTATGTTTATTTATTTTGCATGTACCTGGCATGTTCCTCTGGAAGCTTCCGCTGCCTCTGCATATGGAACATGAGATCTCCTCCGTTCACATACTCGATCACTAAAAACAGCCTGAACAGAGAGCAGGAGACATTCATTAAGTTTGTGTTTTGTTTCATGCAACACCAGAAATTAATGTGATTGGCTGTCGTCACTATGATGGTCGCGTCTGCACCAAGCTTCAGACACACGCTCCATCAAGTGTCGACGCAGATGCCCCGTGTGTATGTACCGTAACTGTCGTACGCATATACACGAGAGAGTGGCGTTCCAGTTTTAAATATGGATATTTTTCTTACACAAACGCACTGATTCACTTCAGAAGGCCTTTATTAACCCCCCAGTACTTTTTATGATGGATGGATGCGCTTTATTTTGCTTCAAAATCGCGACCCCCCAGTCACTGCCATTATAAAACTTGGAAGAGCCAGGACATTTTTAAATATAACTCTGATTATATTCATCTGAAAGAATAAAGTCATATACACCTAGGATGGCTTGAGTGTGAGTAAATAATAAGAGTAATTTTCATTTTTAGGAGAACTGTCCCTTTAAGTACTGACAAGGTCTCGGTTAATGAAAAACAGCAGAAAATTGTGATATTGTGCATATGAAGAGCTAGAGTTTCAGCAAAAATCAGACTTTCATGGTTGTAATGTTTTCTTGTGGCGAAGGTTTCTTATTTTGAGTGTACAACTGAAAAGTGGTTTGAAAAATGAAATACATTCTCCTCTTACCGACTCTCTGTCTGAAAGCAAGAGTGAAGTCCCACTAAGAATGGATTGGTTGATGCTTGTTCAAAGACGTGTTTCTCTGTCTGGACCCAGTCAATGTCCTACATCAAAAAAAAAAGAGAGAGATGTATGACTTATGAATAAAGAACTGCAAAGGATCATGACAGCAAGATGTTTCACTGCTTTCTAATAACTAGAGTAGAGGATATGATGTCTCACCGCCTCTATTGGGGGACTATTGTAGGACAAAAAAAAAACAAGCCTGTGTTTTCTGAGAAAAAGTCAGAAGCAAGCTTATTTAACAGCGGAAAACACTTGGAACTATTGCATGCTGTCACTTTGGGGAGTCAAATCTCGGAATTAAAAATGTTTTAAATAAGAAAAGCACCTTTCTCTTCTTCTTTACAAAGACATGTACAGTGCACAAAGAAACAGAGAAAAGAGAAACAGACATGTAAATAAATCACAAGATCAGTCAATAAAGGTATATAATGTACAGCATCTTTCAAATAAACACCTACAAAAAAAAAACAAGCCTGTGTTTTCTGAGAAAAACCTGATCTATTGATCGTTTAACAGCGGAAAACACTTGGAACTATTGCATGCTGTCACTTTGGGGAGTCAAATCTCGGAATTAAAAATGTTTTAAATAAGAAAAGCACCTTTCTCTTCTTCTTTACAAAGACATGTACAGTGCACAAAGAAACAGAGAAAAGAGAAACAGACATGTAAATAAATCACAAGATCAGTCAATAAATGTATAGAATTTACAGTATCTTTCAAATAAACGCCTAACTTTTTTTTTCTTTCTTTTTTTTTTTGTCAGAAGCAAGCTTACACTTTAATTTCACAAAACCGTCCAGACAGGATGTTACAAAACATCTGTATTGAGAATGTCTCTGGGTGTAAAGATATGGCCCAGAGATGTGTTGATAAAGTCAAGTATTTTTGTTCTGTCAACACTTTAACATTAAGCAACACTTACCAATCACAAGATCAGTCAATAAATGTATAGAATTTACAGTATCTTTCAAATAAACGCCTAACTTTTTTTTTCTTTCTTTTTTTTTTTTGTCAGAAGCAAGCTTACACTTTAATTTCACAAAACCGTCCAGACAGGATGTTACAAAACATCTGTATTGAGAATGTCTCTGGGTGTAAAGATATGGCCCAGAGATGTGTTGATAAAGTCAAGTATTTTTCTTCTGTCAACACTTTAACATTAAGCAACACTTATAATCAGATCAAAGAATTCAAGAGAACGTCTGTTACCCAACAACTAAAGCTGAAAAATGACGAAAAGTGCACATCTTTTTGTAGGCTGAGGGTGAAATGAGAGATCTGAGCCCAAACAAACACGTTTGTTTTTCTGTCATGTCTGGAACTTTCCTTTGGCGAATATTGATTTTAAACCCAGCTAATGATGTTTTCTGTCGCCTGACCTTAAACTTGACACTTACAGAAACCTTTATGGATTTTTAGATTTTAATTAGCATGTTTACTGAGTTGTTTTCCTCATGGGACATTCAACTCCACGGTGCAGGAAAAACCTGACCCACACACACACAAAGCCTGATTTCCAAAATCAGAGCAATTTAATTTCCTGGACGAGTGGGAAGCAGATTACAGCAAAGCAGTCTCAGCATAAGGACATGAAGAGAAACAGATGATGATTTATATATATATATATATATATATATATATATATTTTTCTCTCTTCCATAACATAATATGTTTCCAGTATTTGTAATAAAATTGAATGTTTCATTTTACTATTGTTGAGATATTATTAGATTTTTAATTAGAATTAGTTTTTACTTTTATATTATCCAGTTTCATTTTATCTTAGTTAAAGTTTTAGTATTTTTGTTTTGTTTTGTAATTTGTAATTATTTAAAAATGTTTATATATTTTAATTTTTTATTTCATTTTAGTTTTAGTTATTGTAGTACATCAAGTTAAACTAAATAATAAATTAATTGAAATAAAAGTTAATTTTTTTATATTATTTTGTTTTATTTAACGTTTATTTTATTTCAATTCAATTCAATTCAAATGTATTTGTATAGCGCTTTTCACAATACACATTGTTTCAAAGCAGCTTTACAGAAAATGCATGTGTCTACATTACAATTTAGGCCCTGTCCACACGAACGAATAATTTTTTTATTTTCAAAACCGCCTCTTTTTCAACACGGTTTGGTCATTCATCCACACGCAAATGCAGTACCAGGTCACCGAAACCGAACATTTTTGAAAACTCCTGCCAGGGTGAAGATTTTCAAAAACTCCGGTTGAAGTGTTGTCGTGTAGACAGCGAAACGGGCGTTTTTGGCTTGTGATGTCGGCGCCTGCGCTGTTATCTCCACCTACTGGAAACTTTTTCAGGCTTCTGATTGGCCAACATGGCTTTAAGGTTGAGATTATATCGCCACCTGTTGGTTTGGCATGCTCTTGACAGTGCTTCATAGCATGCGTTTGCGTTTTCATGTGGACAGAGATTTTTTTTTTAAATGGAAATGGATTTTATTTTATAAAAATCCCCGTGTACATGTGGGGTGATCACCTTAGAGTGATCTGTTATCAGAAGTGAATATGTCCAAGTAGTTAATTTCACAAATGAACAGTTCAAGGTAATAGAATCATACAGTTAGCTAACATTAAATTAATTTCAGGCAGAAGCTCATTAAAGCGATTATTACAAGTGTGATCATAATGATTGCAATATAGAGAAAATTTGGCAGCTGCGCATATTGATTTAAGTTGGCGTCATCTGGGGTCCTCGCAGGGGTCAGCATCATCTCTTCAAAAAAACTAAAATGTTTTTATGGTTATTTTTAGTTTTAGTTAACTATAATAAACCTGACTGTAGTAGTCAAATAACATGGGCATTCATTAATGTTTTACCATCATCAGGATTTAAAGCTAAAATTAATATGAATCTATAAAGGGATAGTGTATATTTTAGGTGCTGTGACTAGTCAGCATTTCTTATAAGTTTTCCAACATTTTAATTCTTAACCACTTTAATAGTCTGCAGTTTATTCAAGCCCAAATCTCTCTCTCGATGCATATGAGGTGAATAATTGCATATTATAATCAGACAAAAAAAAGTGTTGTCTAAAATAATTGTAGATGAACTATAAAATGGATAGCTCCAGTCCTAGATGCTGACAAGTCAATACAGCAATCCAGCCAAGTTCAAATAAACACTATAGTACCAGTTATGATGCAAAAAACATTTTGACCAATAGTTATGGTGTATATCATTGCATAGTGTCCGCAAAGGGGGAAAATAAATACAATTTCTTCTTGTACCTTATTGATTAATTACAGCCTGTCAAACTGCAATTTGTTGCATAAAATGCCAAACTGAATGCATCATTACATTTTTAGGTTCATTAAACCTAAATGAGTGTGAATGGTGAGTGCACAAAATGTACAGTACAGTAAAACAGATGGAGAACACATTCCTTGAAGAAACGCCTGCTTTCCAGGAAGCCATTACATTGTTTGTGCCTATTCAGAGGTCAACTGCATGTCTCTGTCTCTCTGGAAGGACCTCTGCTCTTCATGAACTTCATTCATGTGTATTAGCTGACAGCCATGTGGCTTTATGTTCCTGAGTAAGCCAAGATTACAAAGACACAATAGCTCTGACTGTACAGAGTTTACTTTGTGATAGCTGTAGAGTTCAGTTTGTCTTTCTATTTGATGCCTGTTCACACATATCAGGTTTCATTACAGAGAGAGAGAGATATGGCTAATGCTACAGTGCACAGAAACACTGAAGAACTCAAAGATAATAATGACTTTTAATGTTGTATTAGTGCTTTATCATAAATTCAAAGCTCACTGCAATAAATACACTACTGTTCAAAGGTTTGAGGTCTCTCATGCTGACCAAGGCTGCATTTATTTGATCAAAAATACAGTAAACACTGTATACAGTTTTATATTATTAAACATTTCAAATAACTGTTTTCTACTTTAATTATATAACGTCATGTATTCCTTTGATGTCAAAGCTGAATTTTCAGCAGCCATTACTCCAGTTTCACATGATCCTTCAGAAATCATTCTATGCTGATTTGACACTCAAGAAAATAGCTGTGCTGCTTAATATTTTTACAGAAACCGTGATATATATTTTTTCAGAATTCCTTGATAAATGTAAAGTTCGAAAGAACAGCATTTACGGCACTAAATGTCTTTAGTGTCACTCTTGATCAATCTAATGTGTCCTTGCTCAATAAAAGTATTAATTTCTTTAAAAAATCTTTATGACCCCAAACTTTTGCATGACAGTGTAAATAAATAAATACATACATAAATATAAACTTAAAAAAAACATTACAACAATATAAAAACTTTCAGCTCTTTCCGTTTTTTTCCAGGTGAAATTAATTAGCAAGAACCTAAATATACAAAAAAAAGCAATATCAAAAAATATAATAGTTATATTTAAAAATAGCAGTTTTTAAAACAGACAAACTCTTACAATGATTTTAAAAAGGCTACCCGAAAACAATCTGTGCATTCTGCTTTAAACTCCATCTATCAATGATCTATTATTCCAAAATGGCAATTATACATTTATTTCTATTATTATCTGCAGATGTTTTTCTTTTTCTGATGGTTGTTGTTTTTCTTTGATCCCATGCTCAGGATAACATTAATACAAATCATTATGAGCTTCATTTGGCTCCTAAAAATGTTATGGGGACACAAGAGAAATGAGAAAATATATAATGCACAGGTATTATAACAGTTTGCAAAACAGTGACCAAAGTGTCTTCATCTTTAGTATGAATGAGCTTGTGAAACCCCTGAAGATGAACTGAAAGCTAGTGATGGTGGGAGGACTTGGCAATTTAAAAGAAGCACAATCCCACAGCACCATCTACAGGTAACTATAGTGCACTTTCTGTATTTTCACAGATCTGTGTGAGGTGCAACACAAACAAACAATTGGCATCACAGCAAACAAATGATGAAACTGAAGCACCCCCACCCTCAAGTATCATCACCATGACAACAGTCTGTTACCTCATCATCGTGGACCAGCTCTTTCTTCACCACCTTCATGGCATAAATCTGTTCGTTCTTCTTGAGTCGGGCCAGTAGCACCTTGGCGTAACTGCCCCTCCCAATCACCCGGATCAGGTCAAAGTCCCCCAGGCCGAGACCCTGAGAGATCTGAATCCCCTCGATACCATCCACCACCGCCTTCAGATCCTGTGCGCACACAGTGGAAAACTATTACACAGTATTATACAACTATTATACAATTTCTATCAAACACACTCAAAAAGATGCAAAAATACAGTGAGGTTTCATGTTACATGTGTTCCTGATTTCCAGTACAAACTATATGGATATGAAGAATGTGAATAAGAGCATTTATACTCTATTATTATTGAATGAGACCTCCGTAAACGTTATGCACCTGTTATGATCTGCATCTTACCTCTGCGTCATCTTCAGCTTTCTCTACTTTCCGGTTGTGTGCTAAAAAAGGGACTGGAACTGAAAGACAGAGAAAGAGAGTTTTTTTTATTATTAATAATATGTTTTATCTATATATTAGGAGAGAGGATAGGAGCAAGTATTTTAACATTGAAAAATGTACATTATTTCCCATCACGTGTAACAGTAGTTGGATTGTCTAATTCATTATAGTGAACTGGTTCATTCAGGCGCTTTATTTCAATGCAAAAAAAAAAAACATCAGATCATCACCTAGAAATAACGATGAGCAATAATATTAATAATAATTAGTAATATATTTATCTATATATCTATATATTAGAAGAGGCTAAGAAAAAGTATTTTAACATAAAAAAATAATTCATCAATTTAGACGGTTAATTTCAATGCAATAGTAAAAAAAAAAAAGATGAATCAATTATTGTGATGCATGACTGAAAAATAATACTTTTCAGCAACAACACTATTATTATTGTTGTTGAATTAATGTTAATTTATATTATTATTATTAATAATAATATATTTATTTATATACTAGAAGAGGATATCAGAAAGTATAACATTGAAAAAAAATATCTAATTCATTAGTTTGATGCATCACTAAGAAATGTTCCCAGAAGTAATTTTACACTTAATTTTTGTAGTTAAATTTTTTAAACAACATAAAATCAAAAGTGTTGTTGTTTATTGTTCTGAAATGTCACCAACCACAGTTTAACCCTCTAAGTTCTAAGTTCTCCCTTACAATGGAGTGATTTACAAACACTTTGAAATCGGTTCAACTGAATCATTAAAAAATAATCGATTCAAAGGAACAATTCGCTTCAGCAAATCATATAATGTGTAATGCTACCAGATCCCAGTAGGGGGCGCCACAGACTGGACTGTCTCAGAAGGATAAGCATGTATTTCGCTCTCTTTCTCTCTCAACTGGGTCAATGTGACATTACCCACACCTGACATTACCCCACACCTAATGTTACTACAGTATCCTACCACTGTCAGCAGTGCCCTCTGACAAATAGAGGACAGAATGACCCCAATACCCATACAAAAACAGCATTTAAACACACACAGCGGAGATAGAGACCTACTTGCATCTGTTTCCTCAGGGTCCTCAGGGGGAAGCTCCACTTCCTCTCCACTTTTATCCTCGTCTACCAACGGCTCCTGTGATGGCATGACTGGATCCTGCAGAACAACACAGAGATTATACAGGCAGGCTATTTTTCAATGGTCTTTTTTCCCCTCTCCTCTTCGGGGGCTCTAAATAAAAATGTCACTTATCCAAACATGACATCAAAACGGACCCTATTTACTTTCTTAATAAAGGTCCCTTGTGCAAGATAAATTTTTCTAGAAAAAAAAAAGAATTCATCAAAATGTAATAACTTTCTCTACCTTTGAAATGAATGTTCTTATCGGTTGACATAACTAACACCACAGGAGAAAATGTTGTTAACCAACGATAATCACAGTTTGCTTTTCACAATCCAATTACATCTCAATGGATAAAATTATTCCATGTTCTACATTATTTTCCACTTAATACACCATTTCAAAAATGTCATATTTTAAAATATTTCCGATACTTTTCAAACTTTCTTGACCACAAAAAAAAAAAAAAAGATTACCTATAATAATTATTATTATTAGTTATTATTGAAAATAATAATAGTATAATAAATTATAATAAAATGATAATCACATTATATTATTTAATTCACATATTTAATTATAATATACTATATAATATACTGTATAGTATAGTATATATAAACCAATATAATATATAGTTAATAACAATAAAAAAGAACAACATTTCTATTAACAGAATATGAATATATCAATTTAATAATAATAACAATGTTTCCAATTCTAATATTAAGGAGATTGTTTTAAACATTGTTGACAACAAAAAATAGAAAAAACAAACAAACAGTATTTTACATTATATTTTATTATTATTTATTTAACAGTATTTTATATATTTATTTTTTATTTAACGGTATTTTAATATTATCTTGCCATAGTGGCACTTTTAATACCATAATACAAAATTTCTATATAATGTGTATAATGTGTGCCTCTCTGAAGACATGGGAGTCAGTTATATCGAAGTATTCTTAGTCAAGACCCTAAATGTGTAACTACAAAATGAAGACAAACACTTGTGAGAAAGTGAGATGAAACAATGAAAGAAGGTAGTCAGGCGAATGACAGAATGTCTTCACGAAATGAGGATAAAGTCTGAGTGAATAAAGCTCATCAGCTTTGAAATCTATTAAAGAAAACCTGACATAGGAAATCAGAACTGGAGAAACAGTTTCTTGCAGAAGGCAGTGTTGTGAAAATGGTTTGTGTGACAGTTTTCAGTCTGTGATTTCAACATTCTGTGTAAGTTTAGAATCAGGTCAATTCAATACTGACAAGACAGTGTTATCATCTGACAAATTCCACAAGGTCAATCTTTGAAACATTGTTAGAAACTCCAACAACACTCTTGAGAAATGAGAAGAGATGAAAAACAGCTAAAAAAAACAAACATTAAAACTGCAATGAGGTTTTTAACAGCAGTGGATGTGCTTATCTGAATGAAATGGCAAATGCAAAAGAAATTATTTATGTTTTTTTATTTTGCAAGTTCAATCTTCTATTTTTGAATGTTGTCAAGTCTGGGGGTGACTGAATTAAGACTCTCAGTCACAACAGACAGATGATGAATATTTTTAGAGCTGATTGAAAGACTCACCATATGCCTTTGACAGGTCAGTGGGACGAGCTTGTGACAGCGTTTATGGACCAGTAGCTTGCAGTTGATACACTTGTAGCCCTGACGCCCCAGTCCCCATATCCTCTCGCTGCAGTGGCCACAGTATGCTTTCTGAGAGACACACACAGACATGATTACTGAAGTTAGACTAGCCTTATCTATGATACATTTAGCAAGTTGAACCACTTCAATGAATGAGTAAATCAATAAACTTAAGCAAACTACCAAAGAAAAAAGGGATGTCCTACAGATATCACATGAGCAGATAGCACACATCAGCTGAGTATTGCATTCTGAATTTCACCCTAGTATAAAACTAGAAACAAAATATAGTAAATAAAACACACAGCCATTAAAATTTTGAGGTTTGAGGTCAAAGGTTATTTTATTTATTTTTATTTTTTGTCATTTTTAGAAATTAATACTTTAATTTAACTAATATGCATTCAATTGATCAAAAGTGACAGTAACACCATTTATAATGTTTTAAAAGATTTATATTCTAAGATAAATGCTGTTTTTTACTTTCTATTTATCCTGATAATGAATCCTGATAAAAGATGAATCACTACAAAAATATCAAGCAGCACAACTAGTTTAAACATTGATAATGATTAAAAAAATTTATTTTCATCAAATCAGCATATTAGAATGATTTATGAAGGACAATGTGACACTGAAGACTGAGTAATGGCTGCTGACAACAGCAAAAACAGGAATTTTAAATTGTACAAATATTTCATATTATTAGTACTCTTTTTACTGTATTTTCGATCAAATAAATACAGCCTTGGTGAGCATAAGAAACTTAAACATTAACATTTCAAAAACATTTCAAACAAAACAAAACGCCCTGTGAGTCATAAACAATTGAAAATATCTTTAGCTCAGTTTGCTGTGAGGTTCTCCATCTGTTCACAGGAAAAGTGCTACATGAATGCATGATAGAAATATAGAAAATAAAACTAGTTAGAACTGTGGAATCATCAACGTGGTCAAGACCAAGAAAGGTGCTAAATGATCACATTACAAACCAAGCACAAGTCTTCTGTCAAGCTATCCACCAGGGGGCTCTCTAACAGTAAATAATTTTGTAAATTACTTTTTATTGTAAATCCCATTTTTTCATCTTTGACCTAGAGCAGGGCTGTCCAAACTCGGTCCTGGAGGGCCGGTGTCCTGCAGAGTTTAGCTCCAACTTGCCTCAACACACCTGACTGCAAGTTTCTAGTATGCCTAGTAAGAGCTTGATTAGCTGGTTCAGGTGTGTTTAATTAGGGTTGGAGCTAAACTCTGCAGGACACCGGCCCTCCAGGACCGAGTTTGGACAGCCCTGACCTAGAGGAATGCAGCTACTCAAACATGCAGCTGCTCAAAACATCAATATTTAAAAAAAATATTTCATGAGCATTTTAAACCTTGTACATGTGCAAATCTGCAAAAAATATATAAAGAAAATAAATAAAAAAATAGGACTTTCTAATTGCTTTAAAACTGTAAACGCTTTTTACTAAGCTGTTTTTCCCATTTTTCAAGTTCTACATTTTCTCCTTAGCTCCATGTTGCAGTAAGTTTTGGGAGTTCATTTTTAGTCCATCTCCTATCCTGAAAAGTCTGTCTTGCAGAGACTGACAAAAATGAGCTCCTAAAACTTACTGCCAGATTCTGGAAGATAAATTCTTCTAACAGTGGTACAAGAGGATGTGGTGCTGGTCCTTCAAGAGTCACTCTCAACTTATCTGTCCATAAAGCCTATAAAAATAGTCTTCATGTATTTCACAACACTTCAGAATGTTATTCTTATTAAGTAGGGGTAAACTTTTAGGATTTTTTACCCAAGCAAAGTTGTGAGAACCTGCCACCTTGTAATTCTGGAGACTCAAGGTTGCAGTTCTGGAAAATAGTGGCACTGGAGACTAAAAGGTTCCTAATGGTTTCACACTTAATTCTTCACATTAATTATTAATTCTTTTGCAGTTAACATGCTCTTTTCTTCTCCACCTGTTTTTTTCTGACCCTGCTGACCCAATGAGCATTTTGCTGACCAATGGTCATGCCTTAACTTTGAAATTTCTGTATTGCATTAGTTTTTAATATTTCTCATGGGGATTTAATCATTTTTTACTTCTCAGTCGGAGTTAAATCTCTTTTTTGGCTCATTTCATCCGTAAAAGAAAACCTGCCTAATAATTCTGCACACCTTAATAAGGAGTTTTTTTTATTTCCAGCCTTCATGTACAATTATATATCACTTCTAAATTATTAAATACAAAAATAATAGTAGTTATTAAGATTGATGTGGTTTAGAATTGGTCAAATCTGCTTGGAAAAAAATATGATCAGAATATCAACGTGCCTAATAATTATGCACACACTGTAAGATGTGCTCCCTTTACACAGAGTGCGCATGATCGCGAAAGTGAACAGTGAGCGCACATTCAAATGTGATTTCAATACCCCGCATACTGATAGCAGCTCCCTGATGTGCGAAAATAATATACAATATTAGAATGTTTGCAGGAGCGGGACGCACACACGTTGCGGGAGTGGGCGGTAATTGTCAGAAATTCAGCGGGAGTGGGCTTAAGAAAACTGTCCCCAAGGCTCTAGGCTGCGCATCAACATACACGCTAAGTTTTTTCGGATACAATTTTTGAAATAGCGCCATAAACAGGGGTTAAAGCAAAATTTGAAAATTTTTCCTCAGCCAAACTCCATTCCACAGCCATACCTGTTGCGAAAATAATATACAATATTAGAATGTTTGCAGGAGCGGGACGCACACACGTTGCGGGAGTGGGCGGTAATTGTCAGAAATTCAGCGGGAGTGGGCTTAAGAAAACTGTCCCCAAGGCTCTAGGCTGCGCATCAACACACACGCTAAGTTTTTTCAGATACCCCATCTCCACCCCCAATCATTAGTGCCGCTTTGTTCTGTCTTTGACAGAACATATAGGACAATTTTTGAAATAGCGCCATAAACAGGGGTTAAAGCAAAATTTGAAAATTTTTCCTCAGCCAAACTCCATTCCACAGCCATACCTGTCAGACACACATTTTAAAAGCATTTTTTCTTCTTGTAATTAGGAGCGCTTGTCCTCCTTATTAAAAAAATTAGGAGCACCTTCTGATCAATAATAAAAAAAATTCTGATAAAAAATTAGCCTTCCTAATACGAGGTGACATTTGACTCAGAGTGACTTACAGGGGTATTTTCTTTTTACCTTTTTTTCATCTATGTCAAATTCAAAAATGTATGTTTATAAGCTTTTTAAAATTTCTATTTAAAACAATATAATAAGAAGTAGAATAAGACAAATAGGTTACCAATCATATGAAATTAGTATAAATAAAAAATGTATTTGTACAGAGGTGGCACAGGTACATTTTCAGACATTTAATGAGGCTCAGAGGTGGCATGAGTGCAATTAAATTCATACATTTATGTGGAGATTAATGTTTTAAATATAAAATTTTGATTTAAATAACTGAAATTATACGCCAAAAATGAAACTAAATCCGCCAGCAGGTGGCGACAAGTCACTGATTTTATCATTGAATCATTCATTCAATTGATTCGTTCGAACGGCTGATTCATTCAGGAATGAAGCAAGTGACTGTCTTTATGAATGGGTAATCATGAATCACTGACTCATTACATTCGTTCAAAAACGCACTTTCATTGAATGAATGAAACTCAGCTGTGTTTGCTTTTAGAGATGTGAAGTGGCTGAGCTGTTACTATATTTGGAACTATTTTCGTTAAAAAATAGAGCAAAATCAGGCAGTACTTGTTTACTGAACTGTTGTATTGAATCAATATCACATTTGCAAACTCCCTTAATAACTATTAAAAGCTGTCACTCTCCTTATCGTGATCTGTGGGCGCACAGAAAATGAGAGGGCGTGAGTGAGTTCTCAAGACTCAAAAGCACGTGCAAATGATACGTTCCGTCATCTGTCATTGTGTTATAAGCGTGGAACCTGCGGGAATGAGTACAATTGTAATTAATAGCCGCAATCCCGGGCTGAAATTCAAGTCCTACTCTGTGTTCTCTGCTAATAACCCGACTGTGAATGATGCGAGCGGCGTCACTACGTTGTCACTGAGAAGCTGCAGCCGTGGAATGATTTTTGGTGTGCGGCAGAACAACAACAACAAAAACAATAATGCGCTACGTTTCTTTTCCCCTAATTTTTTTTTCAATTGACGGAAATCCATCGTAGCGATGGAAAACTTTAATCCCTGCATAAACTAAATTTATTTAAAATTTAATTCAAGCACTTTCAAGGACCTATGTTTGTTTTCAAGTACTTTCCAGGCCTTGAATCCATAGGGCCCTTTGGACTGCGGAACTGGGTGCGATTTTAGTACCGGACTGCCTTTTTCGAGAACCAAATTAGCTCCTACTCCGGAGCAGGGTCTAACCAGCACAACTGGTACTAATCGTGACGTAAGTAGACATTGATTGGCCAAACGCGTATGAAAACGCCCTCACCCGCCATGATTTAAAACGCAGTGTAAACATACTGTAAACATTGTGCCAACTTATTTCGCAAGTATGGAGAACAGCGATAGATGGACGGACGCTGAAGTGCAGGCACTTTTAGCAAATGTAGCACTGCCAGTTGTCGTTGGAGATTCTTAGTCCTCCTTTCCGTTCTTTCAATCGCTTTAAGTATATGTCGACTTTCCATGTCCATTATTGTGAAACCCGCGAGACACAACAAAAACAGCTCCAATCACAGCGTCCTCCATCCTCCTGTTGTTAATGTTTTTCTTCTTTTGTTTCTGTTGTTGAACACCGCACACAAACGACTACGCTGTCGACCGGCTTACGTCACTTCTTAGTACACACTCTGTCGGTGCGAATGCAACCCTTTAAATGGTACTGGGCAATAGTTTGCGCAAAATCGTCCCAGTACTGTACATTTAGTTCTGGAAATAAAGCGGTGCGAAAGGCCCTCATATGTCTGAAATTCAAGTACTTTCAAGTACTTCCAAGAAGCGTGGGAACCCTGTATAAGTCTCTGGTGTCCCCAGAATGTGTATGTGAAATTACAGCTCAAAATACTCCACAGATCATTTATTATATCATTTTGAAAATGCC